TCATGAACAAGGAAGCCATTGTTTTGGCACTCCAATTGACTGTGTCCAAGCCCGCATCTGTGGCAAAGGACATGCACAGCCGTATATCCTCATAAGCATTCCCTAAATATGTAGTCTTGGCTTTCACATTGAGTGTGGTCAGAACCTTCTGAGCCTGTTTGCCAGAGCAAGTGACACAGGTGTTTATCTTCATAACATGGCAGCTGCCTGAAATACTTTCTTACCTGTCCTCCTCTGCTGCCGTATCTTGCTATCTGTAAAAACATACCAATTTTCCAGGCTCTTAGATATCTTAAAATATTCTCCCGATTTAGCGCATTCATGGAGGACCATGTCCAACATATATGTTGGTCCAGCAGTACTCCCGCTGGCTTGGACACTGGTGTGCTGATAAAATCAGCAGGTTTCTTGCCCTCATCTTCTTCTGCCTCTGTAGTGAGGTTCAGAACCACTGACAACCATCTCCTTCACTGAGGAAGTGTCTGGCGAAGGCCTCACATATATCATTTATTAGGATTCCTCCGAAAACCTCATCTTCCTCAAGGCTCTTTCTTTTGAGAGGAGTCTCTGAGGGACCTGGGGTTTCCCTTCTCTACGGACCCCTTCTCTTTGCACCCACCTACTTGGACACTATCTAGGAGATTTAAAATCCTCTCTCCCAGGTGCAGGCTCAATTTGCCAATTTCTTGTGAGAGAAATCTCTGCTGGGCCCTCTGGAGGTCTTCCTCCACCTGTGTCCTGTCAAATTCTGAGACCTTTTCTTGAGGTTCATTCTCAAGGGTCCCACTTGCCCTGAATTGGGTTCTCTGGACTGGGTGGTTCAGGGAGGGCCTCACGCTTGCTGGTGTTTGCATGTAAGGGTTGCCCTCTATGCCCTCCTGACGGCTTTTTCCTACCGCAGATGTCTCTCACCCATCCTGGGTTGTGTCGCTCATACCATAGGGCCCACGTGTGGGTGTTTATCACTTGGGTGAGCCAGGCGAGATTTGTCCGACAGCTCCGGTCCATTTTCGTCTCTCCCGTGCTCTGGTGGAAGGGTCAAATTCTGGCCATGGAGTGCAAGGGCCTTCTGGGGTACGGTGGGAGGCCATTGTGGGCTGTTTACTGGGGTTTCACCTACCGCCTCAGTGCTTAGGGTCACAGACCCTTCCACCACAGGATTGTCCACCAGGGGATGAGGGTCCAGCACTTATCCTAGGGCCCTATGTCAGAGCAACCCCTCTTTTGACTTTGGGACTATTTGAAACTACTGGTTCCATTGGAGCATTCGCATCCCTCACATCCGTCATCGCCGCCATGGCCCACGGCTTTCAGCCGTTAAGATCTCGCACTCTGCATCTCTGCGCATATGCGTTGATGAAATAATCGGACATTTTTATTTACCCGACACAACACGCTTAATTCAAGAAATTATTGCAAACTTTGCTCCATGCTATATGCTTAATGAATTAATAGGCAGCTTTTGCCCTACGTCATGCACTTAATTATTAATTAATTGGTGACTTTTGTATACATTTATTAATTGGTAATTTTTCACAATTCATGAAATCAGCACTTTTTTTTTTCACCGCCACACCGATTATACTAAATAACCACAATAAAATGTGACCAAGACTGTTAATCACATTATTTCCATACCCAAAGTGTGTTCCCACACTTTTTGTTCAATTTGTACAGCTATATTGCTAAATTACTTGCCGAATAGCTGATTTCGAGCTAAGCCTATAAATATTCCCCTAGCACTGAGCAGGGAACTTTTTTAACACTGCGGAAATGGCCACAGGCGGATCCCCCGAGCCTTTCCCCTGGTAGAGAAGGCGGGCTAGGATAGAGAGCATTCCCTCCAGCCAAAAAGTACTAATTCAATTGATACATGTGTAGTGACATGGAATGGGTCACTATGGCACATAGCGCCGGTTGCTGGCAGAGAAGGGGATCTGCTGTTGTAGCAGCCCTGTCTGCCAGCAGGTCATGTGATAAGCCGGAGAAAGGGATGTGGGGCAAAGGTGATAGAGGGGGCACGTGAGGTAAGGCCCGGGAACCTTCTAGAAGGTTCTAGAAGGGGGCGTGGCCGTTAGGCAGAGCGAGGCCACGCTGGGTGGATAAAAGGGGATCCCGAGCAAGGTTCGGGGCTGTTGTTTGGAGTGGAACCCGTCGTGCTGCTGGAGTCTTCGTCACCATCTTCACCTCCTCGGCGTTGTTAGTCAGGCAGCCTGCTAGCTATCCTGACCATATTGTAGTATAATAAATAGAGTGCCTCCTACTATTAGTGTCTCTGAGTGACTCGCTACACATGCATACAATGTCATGAATTAGCTAAGTTCCCTGAGTACTGGGCACTGGAAAGGTACTTTAATGTTCACAGTTAAAAGCATGTCAGTGACCAATTTATGAATACACCCTACGGAAACTAAGTTTTGCGGGTCCGTGCCATCGACGGCAGGAAGTTTCGGAAGAAGGTTCTTCCTGTATTGACATTGAAGCAATGCGGCGTTTGTCCTGCCAGATGTTTTGCGACGTTGATGATTTTATAAAATACACGGAGGTAGATTTTCATTGAGGAGGTCCTGCCAAACTTCAGAAACAAACTCCTTGAAGAACAAGTTCTTAAAGGTAGCCTGGTATTTCCAAGCCTTATTTTGTCCATAGCATTGGACAGGAAGGATTCCCTCATGGAGGTCTTTGAGGGCCCTCAGCTTTTGGGACTTGCCCACATAGGCAAATTACAGGCAGTGGGTGCCTGGGACGCTGGCACATGCCAAAACCATGATCCGCCCCTCGCTCGACTACTAGCCAGGAGCATCTATCTCCGACTGGGAAGCCAATGTTGTTGAAGGCTATACCTTCCAAAAATACCTGTTTCATCCACATTGTATACCTGAGACACAGACAGGCCTTCCTCATCCACCAATGCTTGAAATTTCTGATGTAGGCTGTGAAAACATCAGGAATGAGAGCTGTAGAATGTTAAATTGTTCTTTGCAGGGACGAAACTATCCCGGACTGGCCAAGAAACATTCTTTGCCGCAACCACCAAGCTTCTCTTGGAAGGCGTTTACCTTCTCACAGAGTAAAGACTCACTTATGGAGTGGATCTTTCATGCCACTGCACAAACCACTCTCCAGCTTGTCGTCCAAATCCATTTTGAGAACAACATCAGTGGTCTTTCAACTCTTCTTGGCCTGGATATTTTGTAGTTCAGGGGAAAACGTTGAAATTGTATCTGCATTGTCGCAGATTTCGCAAAATTTAGTATGAACACATGTTGTACTCCAGTGGCAATGCTTTGCAGCAGGTTAGTTGGTTTTCAGGGCTTTAAACATATATTTCATGCCAAGACTCTCTTTTACCCTATCCATCTCCTGGTCCTTGCCACCACTCAGAGAAGACATATTTGATTTCGTGGTCTGATGGCTTTTGTCTTGCAAAATGTAAAAAAAATCGACATAAAAAAATACAGTTGACAGAAAAGTGCACAAAAAATGTACGCAAAAAACCCACCAAAAATACCAGTCACCACTCTAACATTCCCATAATCAGGCACACTCTGTCACATACAAATATTACTCTCCCTCTCTCACAACAGACACACTCCCACACTCTGACACTGTTTCACAACACTACTGGAACAAAACAATCTAAATTTAATTTAATCTAACTTAAAACTCATTTTATATTCATAAGTATAAATAAGCTGAGATGAAAAATCACTTAACTTCACAGAAGACATGAAAAGGGCACAAGTAAAGCACAGATAGAGCACATACAGAAAATGAGAATTTATAATGATCAGATGAACCAGGCTAGATTCATTGTTGTGTGCTTAAATGGCTCATGTTTAAATACTCTAACCATAGTCTTGCCCACACCAACGTTATTGATGCCATACTACTGTCATTCAAAAATCTAGACATTCAAGCAGGCTGATGAGAGTGGACTCTAAAATTCTGGTAGCTTGGCAAGCTGTGTGCGATGCCAGACTGATGAAATACTTTCTAAAACTCAACGGCTATCATCATAGACTCTCCCAAATGTGCAGAGCTTGAGCACCGAATTTGAGTCACATAAGATGACAAGGCCACCTGCAGAATGCGTTGGATGGAAGACCGATGCATGTCCTGGGAAAAGTTCTGGGACTGCTGCAAGTTCTGTTAAGTTTGGATAGTACATCATGCACTGTGAATCTTAGTTGTTTGATATATCGGAGGAAACCAGTATCGGTGGCATTTTATTTGTGTGATTGAGAGTTGAATTTCTTGCAAAATTTGAGCCAAAGAGATTGGCCTTACCTATCGTATCACGAATTACAGATCAAGATTAATTCCGAATTGGGATCTATCTCACCCATCCAAGCACTATACAGGCTCAGAACTGCTTAGCTTTTGAGATTTCATGAGATCGAGCACATTCAGGGTGATTTAGTCTAATCTCATTGTGAAAATAATACTAATTTCAACTTGTACGGTACACAGTATTCGCTCACTCTCTAAGAGGGAGAACGACTCAGAGTCGTGACGAACCACATATAACTGGGAAGGTAGCCACGTGGTGAGCCAGTGCCAACAATTTCTCTAGCTCTGCAGTCATCTATATATATTTAGGTGTTTTCAGCCAAGTAATGAGTGTTTATATGTAGGAGGAAACCAACGCACCCATGGAAAACCAATGCATGTAAGAGAACAATAAAATTCAGATGGAACAGATGGAGATTAGTCTTCATTTTCCCATAGCATATTCTCTTGGAAAGCCAGGGTATGGCACCTCAACACCCATGGGAATGCAATTTCAAATTTGTGTGATTCACTCACCCTTGCCTCCAGTGCTCGGATTACAGACATGCGTCACCTCTGCCCGTGGTATGTATAATTGCGAAATATAATAACTATATATTGTGCACGCAACGTCTAATCCATACAATAACATATTTCACTCTATAGTCCACTCTTATAATGCCAACCAGTAATATTTTAGCCACTGAAAAGAAATCTAACCAACCCACTTTATTGTTGTGGAAGACCAGGTCAGCCCAGTAGCGTGCCTCCTCCTCTGGAAGATCTGTGAATACAAAAAAATATACGCAGATACATATATATGAGTGATATTAGGTTAAAACTGTTTTCATTCTATTACAGTACACCTTTATCTGTACCATAATGGTTAGTACATACTTACAGTAAAGACTTAATAATGGAAAGAGTCAGCTGCTGTGAGAAGTTAAATTCAGATGTTTGAGAGAAAATGGCTACAAGCAGGAGTAACTGAGAAGTCCAATGAAAAGGAATGAAGGTTATACAGGACACATTATAAGGGAGTCAGCTAGAGATGTGATACAGATTATCACGTGAAGTAAAATAGAAGGGAAGAGGGAAAGAGGAAGATAACATATCCATTGATCGGACAATGTGAGAGATTGAATGGGATTCTCCGCGTGCGATGCTAAAGAGTTGGAGAGTATCTGTCATGGACATCAACTCTCAGTTATGAGGAAGGCACTACAGAGAAATATGCTGTGTATTGTGTTTGCTTTTAGCATAACGGATGTAAGTACAATTAACCCTCTTTCCTGGCATCTTCCTCTACAACGTTTACATGCCTTATACACGAGTCAATACACCTCAGCTGCAGCACCCCCCCCCCCACCAAAACCTACTCAGTTTACATCCTTGCACTCAGAAGAAGTAGGTCACAGTAAGCCATACATAAGATGTTTTTTGGGTTAGATCGCGTAAATATATAAATGTGTCGTTAAAACCCGCCACCACCCGACACAGCCAACTAGTAAGGGTTGTCACGTAAACAGAACGTGGCCAATTCGTTACTAGTACAGCACACCAGTGTGTTGGAGAGCCAAATCACAACATTTACAATCTGAGTAAATGTTACAGACATGCGCCACCTCTGAGGAAATATTGTGGCTTGGCTCTCCAACACACCGGTGTGCTGTACTAGTGTAGTGTCGTCAAAAATTACTAACACCGACAAGTTGTAACAAGTCACCTGCTTACACTTTATTCACCTATTCTTGCACCAGTTTCAGGAACTTCTATAACTGTCTATACAGTCACTTATGTTCAACTTCTCCCCACTCTTATCTACCTTCCACATCGCTTATCCTGCACTCAGCAGCTTTGATCTCAGTGACTCTGCACACAGCGTCTCTGCACACAGCATCTTCACAGTCAGCATCTCCGCAGTCAGAGTCTCCGCACACAGCAACTCTACATCTCCACCGCTGCCCTCACCTACGCTCCCTCAAACCCGCTCACCCGTCTGTCCTAGGCGGGGGGATCAGCCAACACCCGCCCGGTGACGGCGTGAGGGTTGAGGTCCATTGACGGCTCGAGCGGCAGCGGCGAGATGTCTTCACTCTTGTCCCCGACAACAACTCCCTCTCCGCTTCCACACACACCCTTATATCACTCTGCTAATTGTCCAAGATCTCTGTGCGTCTCTTTAAGCTCTCGTCAGGCCGGTGCCTGTCGGCCCATCAATCAACCCTTACCTCCCATCTCCCTGGCAACACCTCCGGTTTTGCCGTGCACAACCGGTCGACCCCGTTTGCACCCGCTGCGCCCCCTACAACTGGCAGTTTGTCTGTGCAAACCTCACGTTGCACACGCGGCACCTGTTTGCCCTCAGTTGCCCTCGGTTAACTGTGCGCACTACGTATTTCACTCCTCTACACTATTGACGAATTGGCATGTTCTGTTTACGTGACAACCCTTACTAGTTGGCTGTGTTGGGTGGTGGCGCATTTTAACGACACATTTATATATTTACGCGATCTAACCTTAAAAACCTCTTATGGATGTGATTGGTCGTGAAAGCCTACGTATTAAACTCACATTAAGCCAGTCCCTCTTGGCAACCAGGCCCTCTGCTCAAAACTAGGAATGTCCACATGTTCCCACCAGGGCCCCACATTCATCTGACATGCATTTTCCTTTTGCGATGGGTTTTCTCATCAATTATTGAAAGTGTCGGATTTGAATTATTGTTTCCGTTGGGCAAGTGCTAATGGGAGGTGCCATTGTGTAAAGGTAAGCCCTCCTCTCATATGGGCTCCTAGAGGCAAAAGGCAGTGGTAAAGATTTTCTTTGGGTCTTTCGGTAAAATCACGTAGATAGGTTCAAAGAAAAGAACAAAAAGCTAAAACTACGACGTTTCGATCGCAACACACCGAAAGACCCAAAGAATATGAATTCCTGCAGTCACAAAAGCTTTAAGTCAAGTGGCAAACATTGATAACCACTTTATTTAGTCCTAAGGAGTACAACACTAGTATACAGTTCTCTTTTGTTTCATTGCTGCCTGTTGGGATGGCCACATTTTCAACTATTTGTCAGTTGGTGGTTTAATTATACAACCTTCCTGGCTGGTGGCTTAGAAAAGGCTGAAAGCATTCTCCATGCAATCTGGTGGTCATGTGACATACATGCAAGGCGCGATGTGCATGGCTCCTTCTTGCTGTTTGTGAGCACACCTTTGTGTGTTTTTAAATCTGGTGGATTTATACAAAATTATTATTAAACGCCTCATAAGCTTTAAGCATACTCTTAAGTATCTCATAAAAATGACTAATGCCCAAATATTCTTGAATATATTATTTCTCTTCACAATATATTAATTCACCAATATATAAACAGTAAACACACTCAACAATACACAATTTATTACACCAATTAGCAAACACTTGCTATGTGATAATAATTACACAAACAATATATATACACACACACCCATATAAACGTAAATATAAAATTCACATACACACTGATACATAGATTCAGATATCACATGAATGCACACATATACCCTTTCACCCACGCTTATTATGCACACATTTTGTAAGGACACGAATCCACGTGTACAGTTATACATCACATTCAAATAACCCTTCGCCTATCTCCCCATGACCACTTTGCAACATACCCCTAATACGTGGCTCTCTATCCCTGATTCCTCACCGTATCAGGCATATCTCCAACTTAGCATCTCTACATGAACTTATAGAACATCTAGGTTAGCCAACTTATCCCAGGCTGCTAACCCCCACCCCCCCCCCCCTCCCCATCAAAAACTCACAGGTTTCACATTTCTAGCCCTGAGGTGCTCAAATATTTGATGTAAATGTCCTTACCCAACACCAAGCCTATCTGCTCCAAGACAAAGAGAATAGGTCAGTTCATGTGCTGGAGTGAGAAGGATTATGGCATCGCAAGTCTGCAATGGGATGGTGATAATATGGGGAGGCCTTCATCCAAAATTGGATGATAATGATTATGAATAAGAAACGGCAGTTTGCATTTTTTCGGAAACACTCAATTAGATTTGTCACCTACCACAAGGTGATTCAAAGTGCAGGTCCAGGAGGATCTTGTGCGGAGTGGGATTTTTGGTGCCACAGATTTCATTCCCATTCATGAGGACATCTGAGCTGAGGTCCAGCCACTCACCTGGTCCCTCCTGCTGAACAAACAAAGGAAACCAATGACCACATCAAGGAGTACCACAATTACTCACGAAGGCAGCTTTATTAATTATTTTAAAAAAGCCTTCTATGATACTTGAGTTGCTTGTATTTTTGTGGGAACAAACATATTTGACGTGTTATATATTTAAAAAATTCAGCCTGTATTTGCAAACTACAGAAAATATCTCAAATATAGCAACAACAGACAGCAACTTCCATTGAAACGACATCTGTTCATATGAACACCTTAAAATAGAGTTTGAATATCCTAGATGCAGAGGTGTTCACATGAACATCTCGCACAATAAAACTAGTTTAGATATCACTCACCGCTGATATTAGCCGTTGTTGGTAATAAAACTAGTTAAAATGTTTATACATGTGGGAGGAAACTGCAGTACCTAGAGAAAACCCTTGTGCATGAGAGGGCAACACTCTATCCCTGTACAGATGGAAACAGATGGCGATTAGTCCACTTCCTGTACTGCCTTCTCCTGGTGAGCCAGGGTCTGGCAGCACCATGCCCACAAGGAGTTTTACAACATCTGTGCGATCCACAAACTCTCGCCTCCACAGTGGTGTGCACGAACATCACCTGGCTAAATGTGCATCGTACAATGCACTAACCACTACACAACCACATAAGTTTGTGTTAAATGTTGGTGGTTAAAATGTATGGTGGATCCCCACAGCTAAGGCAAAATGGCAGAGTTCACTTCAGTGATGAGCAAGAGGACAATATCTGTGCAAATGTGAAATAGGGAATTTATACAGTGTCATGACAACTGCATAACTTCCATCGCTTGACAATGGCATAGACGTAAATATACATGTACACCTTTTCATCATGGTCCTATATGTGGCTTAATACATGCAGAGTTTTCTCAATCAACATTTCTTCTATAATACAGGTTTTTTGGGGGTTAGATCGCGTAAATATATAAATGTGTTGTTAAACCCAACGACAATTATTAAGGTTTTTCTCGTAAACAGAACATGCCAATTCGTTACTATTGCAGCACACGGTGTTTTGGAGAGAAAAGCCACAACATTGAGTACGACGTTTAGCCAGTAATTATAACTAGTTTCATTAGGCGACAGCCAGATTTGTGGAGAAATCCTCCTGTTTCGTTGCTTAAATAGAGGGGTAGATGTGATGGCAGACACACTTAGGAGAAGCTTGTGGAGCCACAATCTGGCTTCAACCGAGGACAGTCCTGCACTCATACTGTACCATTTTTCTCATGCCATCTGTTAAAGCAGAGGTGTCGGGAATTTCAACAAGACCTACATGCCTGCTGTATTGACCTGGTCAAGTGCTAAAATACCCTATTTCTTAATGCTTTTGGGGTCTCAGACTGGGAGCTCATGATCAATAATGATCTTCATGATAGTAGGCAGACCTGGGCAAAGCTGCATATCTGGCAGAGGCATTTCTTGTTCGCCTTGGGTACAAAAGGGATTTCCTCTGGACACTCCACTATGCAACATCATTTTTGACCACATCGTTTGAGATGCTTTCCACAGATGTACCAGAGGAATTTCCATCTGGTACAAATACAATGGGATCCTGATGAATGCACGCGTATGGTCAAAGGGTATATAAGGATTGTCTGGTAATTGAAACTCAATTTGAGAATTAGTTGGGAAACTTTTATGATGAACCTTGAGCCTACCACCAAGAGGTGGGACCTTGTCATCAACCCTACTAATACAAAGCAGGTGTCATAATTTCTGTCATAAAACACTACACCACCTCAACTATCCATGAGCAATGGGGCAGGTGTGGAAAGAGTGGAGGAGTTTCCATACTTGAGCAGTATGCTCATGCCCAACTCTGGTTTGACAGCAGAGGTCTTGCTTGAAATCACCATCTTTTAATCATCCATAAAAAAGTTTTTATTTTTTATCGGCTGCATAACTCTTAGGGGAAGCGGCCTTTCCTGCCAATTCATGCAAAGATCCAGGTCTTCTTGGCCACAGTCATGCAACCTCTCCACTATACTTGTGGAACATGGGTCGTTTTAAAAGAAACATCTGCATCAGCTTGAAACGTTCAGGCTGTCCTGCCGACAATCCATATTGGGTTTAACCAGACTGGATTGTATGAGGTGCACCAAGATCCTTGAACGATCTGACCATAGTCCATAAACTCCTCTGGTAGGAAAAGTTACATTGGCTGGGTCATATAGCCCCATGCCCAGCCACCTCATGCCCAAGCAGCTCGTTTGGCTGGATAGAGTGGACTATAAAAGTGGATGGGCTGACGTGGTATGAGAGGATGTAGAGCTAATTAGACCATCCAATGACTGTTATCAGTGGTGTAAAGATGGAGGAGACTAGGAAAGGATGCTACTCAGGTATTAGAAGCAGTCGTCTTTCAATAACAAAAGGTGGAGAAAGATACACCGACAAGCAGAGTGCCAAGTGGCTAAATCACAGCAAGTCGGAAGCGCAGGTGGTGCATCTGCCAGTCATCTCAGTCAATTAACCCAAAACGTGGATCCCGTGACCTCCTGCCAGTGAGCCTGACACTCCCGTTATGGTGATGTTATCGCCAATTAGTGGTAAATGGTGGCTGTTGTTATTGTTGCATGTGTGTATGGGCTCTGCAAAACAGACCTGCCATGGATATGGTAAACCATGTCCCCAGTGAGATTTTAGTATTTACAACTCAGCCTGACCCTTCTATGGCATGGTCAGGCTGACATTGTTTTCGTAGTGTTTTTCCACCACATGGCAAGATTGACGATTTGGTATTAAGTGTCAATGAATGATATTGGATGCTGCATCCATTCCTCAGCCACAGTTTGAGGCATGCTCCCAGATTTGTGTTAGCTCAATGGTACCATCCACCACCGTGCATGTGCTGTCTTAAGCCAGATAGACTTGGCTGTCAGTGATCAGCTCTGCCACTCAAGCATTTTAACTGGTGAGATTGGGCTAATTCAGGCTGCAAATTTCCACAGAACTGTATAATAAAGTTATATTAAAGTTCGCATGAATCACACTCTTCATTTGAATAACATAGTAGATAAAACATATGTATACCTCCCCTATTGTGGTTACATTTTAAATGAATGATGTGCACATGCTTACCTCATTAGACTGCTTGATGGTTTTAAGCTGGACCCATATGGTGCCCACCATTGTGTCCCAGATGAGGCCCTTTTCCCAGGCCTCCACCAGAAGACCACCCTCCAGGTGGTTTATCTCACTGTGCAGACACATACAATTGGCACTATTGTATTATCAATGTTAATTTAAACCAATAAATGATGTGAGAATATGTCATCATAGTAGACCGAATACAAAGTGTCTGATAGCTCATTCGACTTGTGCAAGTTAAACAATCACATTTTTTTTTCTAGATTTGAAGCTTTCGTGACTGCAAGGATTCATACTCTTAGGTTTTTTCGGTAAAGTCACGTAGGTAAAAATAAAATAAAAATAATAGAAATAATAATAGAAATAAAATTATAAATTACGACACAAGTCTCCGTCATCAGGTGGGACCGTCACAGCTAGATTTACTGTATCAAGTGAGGCAAAAATTCCAAGATACAAGCTCTTAAATACAAGTTAAGGGGGGAGGTGCTCTGCAAACCCTCTGGCTACCATCAAAGGTTTGTACACGAAGCCATCCAGATATACAAACACAGACATAATTTCAACCGTGATGATGGGTACAAACTGAGTAATCATTGGAAAGATGATAATTGGTTCTTTACCCTTCTATCTGGCAACAAAACTGACACCTTTTTACAAGGAGTCATGTTTGCATAGACCGCAATACCTGCAGTCATAAATACAAACAAAAGACATAACTCTGATAATGTGCACTGTCCTTGAAGTTGATTGGTCCACACCCGAGACAGCTTTCCTTCGAGCCTAGTCTCACATGGGTTGGACCAGAAGACGCCAAAAGGCGCACAACTCAAAGACAATGCACCATCAGAGTATGAGAGCTCGGGGCAAACATCTACACAATGGGGACCTCATTTGCCAGTAAAAATATGATAATTGGTTCTTTACCCTTCTATCTGGCAACAAAACTGACACCTTTTTACAAGGAGTCATGTTTGCATAGACCGCAATACCTGCAGTCATAAATACAAACAAAAGACATAACTCTGATAATGTGCACTGTCTTGAAGTTGATTGGTCCACACCCGAGACAGCTTTCCTTCGAGCCTAGTCTCACATGGGTTGGACCAGAAGACGCCAAAAGGCGCACAACTCAAAGACAATGCACCATCAGTTTGCCCCGAGCTCTCATACTCTGATGGTGCATTGTCTTTGAGTTGTGCGCCTTTTGGCGTCTTCTGGTCCAACCCATGTGAGACTAGGCTCGAAGGAAAGCTGTCTCGGGTGTGGACCAATCAACTTCAAGGACAGTGCACATTATCAGAGTTATGTCTTTTGTTTGTATTTATGACTGCAGGTATTGCGGTCTATGCAAACATGACTCCTTGTAAAAAGGTGTCAGTTTTGTTGCCAGATAGAACGGGTAAAGAACCAATTATCATATTTTTACTGGCAAATGAGGTCCCCATAGCATTGGAAAGATGTTATTAACCATGCAAAAAAGATTTAACTACACATTTTTGGACCATCTTATTTGACAGGTACTATTCTACTTTACCGAGTGTTGACATCCCCAGCGTTTAACAGTACTCTCCTTTTTTGTATTTGGATTGTCAACCAACACTGGGTAAAACAACAACATGTGCACCTGTCGTTCTTTTTTAGCATGTGCACCTGTTGTTCTCTTTTAGCCCCCCCCCCCCCCCCAATACGTTCCATTCATTGGCTACCACATTCAGATAAGCCCCTCCCCCCTCCTCCCCTCTTAACTTGTATTTAAGAACTTTCTTTCTAATTATAAAAATACATTTTCTTAAATATTCCATCATCCTCTTGTACACCTATTTCATAGTAGCGACACTGGGTATACATTATTGAGCCTGACTCTGCAGCCTTCTTTGTTAAATTCTGCAACCATATCCTGTTGTTCATTTGCATTCGTTGTTATAAAACATTTTTTATGTATATACCCATTACTATAAATAACGAGAAAACTGAAAACGTGTCAATAACTCTGCCTTAACAGGAACAAAAAATATTAATAATAGGTGATCATTGCCCAAAACATCACTTAAAATATGTTTCCGGTTAAGGAAATGTTATCGACGAATGTGTTATGTTGTTTGTGCTTGTGCAACACTGCCAATGCAGTATCACCAAATCATTAATTTTTATGCATGTGTAATGTAGCTCTCAGAGACACCATCTTGTTCAGGTATATGTGTAGTGGCTGTGCTTGTCACTGTATGGTGCCGGGGCTTCCGAAGCCACGGTGGGTAATGTGTTGTCATTATGGGCAAGCCCAGGTTATGGGATGTAGTACCAGCCCTAGTGGGGCTTGGGTGAGTGCTGGTTAGCGCGGAGGCACCGCGAGCAGCGTGCGGTGCGGGCTCCCGGTGAGGGAGCGAGAGGGAGTGTCAGCCAGCCATGATACGCTGGTTGACCTGTTGTCACGTGACCGGATAATATTGTAGGGGGGCCACCAGTGGACGGGGGCCAGGAGGCAGTCATGAGGTCCAAAGGAGCTCTTGGGAACCTTCGAGAAGGAGCCCGAGAGACCTGGAAGGTGGGCGGGGTGAAGGGCAGAGGCGGGGCGAAGGGCGGAGCCAGCCCCCCCTCCGGGAGGATATAACAAGGGCCCCGTGAGGAGCTCGAGGTTTTTCGTGTGCTGGTGTTACGAAGATCCACGTCGAGGAGAATAAGCCTCTAGCCACGCGGTCCAGGACCCCGTTTGTGGTCCAGACCGGGACAGCGACCCGTGTCTAGTTCTGCCGTAGCGTTGTTAGATGGACATTCGAGACCCGAGAGTAGATTGTGTTATGTTACGTACTGTTGTGTAAATAAATAGTGTTTCTCCTAAGATAATGTCTCCGACTCAGTTGGACTCACAACAACTGGTGTCAGAAGTGGCCAACTTGCTAGGCTGTAGCTAGCGGTAGACGAGTCATGTTTACACGTTGCAGAGTTCGTGTACGTGCGTCGGACGGCGAAGATGACGAGGAGCTGATTCTGCCCACAGCTGCCGAGGAAGGAGCGGAGACGCTCCCCGCGGAGCAGAGCGCAGTCGGGGCGCAGAGTGCCTCGCCTTCGGTGGCGGAGCTCATCAGGGACGCGCACAGCCGTCTCGCTGACCTTTTCCAAGCGGCGTCCTCCATCCTCGTGGAGATGCGGTCCCGACCCTCGACGACGAAGGAGGGGGCGGCGGAGCCATCTGGACGGGGTGACCGGGCCGCCATTTCACAAAAGGCGGGAACGCTATCGCCGCTGCCTGTGCTTGCGGGCACCATTTTGCCGCTGGCGGGAAGCGCGGAGCCCACCATGCTTTAAGCGGAGACGTCCTTGTCATTCGACGTCCAGTCGCTCCGCCGTCGGCTGCCCTTCATTAACAAATTTGTTTCCGCCAGGGGCGATTGGGTGGTATTTAAGCAGTGATTTCTCACAAATGCCGACGTAGTGGGGTGGTCAGAGGCAGATGCGCTGAAGGCGCTCCCCGCCACCCTTGATGATGATGCTTTAGCGGCGTTCCTCGCCATCCCGCTGTCCAAGAGGTCCACCCTCACGCAGGTGTTTGACCAGATGGCCGCCACTTTTGAGCCTCCGCTGAACACCCATCAGAAGTTCGCCGTGAGGTGGAGAGGAGATGGTGAGTCGGCCCTCGCCTACAGGAGTGCGCTTTTAGCGCTCGCGAATGGATCATGATGGCCTTGACGCCTTGGTCCTCGAGAAAATGTTGGAGCTCGCCAAGGATCTCCATACTGTGCTTTCCGCCGAGGACAGGGAGGTGTCTTCGCTCAAGATCGCGAGGTGTATACAGTCACAGGGTGTTGGTGGCGTGCTCCGCGTCTCCCGCAGAGCCCGAGGCCCACGCGGACGGAGAGCCTGCGACTGCGTGCTCGCTGCATCAGTGGAGCACTGATCGTCGGGGTGATGGAGATCGGCGGTGGGACGACCGGCGGCGGACGGGGTCTGCTTAGTTCTGATCCAGCGACGGACGGGTCACCTGCTACAACTGCGGCCTGCTGGGGCACGTCCAGTTGGGCTGCCGGGTTTCTCGACGGTGAGCCCTGGGACGTCTGCCTTCCTACGACTCCCTACCCCCTAAGGCGAGTCGCGGCCTGTGATCGGGGCTTCCCTTTTATCTCTCTCGGCGCGGCCTGGCTCCACCCTTGGCCGCACCCTACGTCCAGAATTTTCCCGACGGTTCTAGACTCCACCGCGCCTGTTCCCTCTCTGGCTCCGCCCTTAACCACACCTCTTTCGGGAACTCTCTAGACATTCTCAGCTACTCCCCACATGCCCTCTCATTTACCTTTGGCCCACATTACTCACCCCGGCCCATCACGTGCTTAACACGGTGCCAGGGTGACTCGTCCTCACATGGCCCATACCACCAGCCGCCCCCCACCACACTCTCCCAGTGGCCTGCTCTATGGTGATTCCCTGTGGCGCTGGTGGAGGCTGCAATCCCCTACTCTGTCGGTAGGACTCATCAGGCTTCCTTCTGCTAGCACTCAGTACCATGCCCCTAGTGGCCCACTGAATGGTACTGCATGGTGTGTTGGCCTCTGCGCCTGTTTCAATGGCACTTCGCGCTAGGCGCCGTAGTGATTCATTTAACATCACTACACATGTTTCAATTGTTAAAGTGTCGCTTTCCCATTAATGTAAAACTGTTCATTATATATTCAAACTGCTTCAACTCAACAAAATATGAATGTATAATGAATTTAAAATCAACAGCATCTCAGCCTACTGTGAAAGCAATGTACTGTACATACATATGGAAACAAAATTAAGAAGTGTTTTTTTTTCAGAGCGAAGGTAGGGGGAGACTTCTGACCGTATGATAAAGATGTAAATGAAGAGCAAGAGAAAATCATAGGCGGAGGAGAAGAAGAAGGTTTTGATCCTGAACAAAAATAACTGGGGACAATTGTCATAAATGGCTAAAGAGAATTCCAATGAGGACAGGAGCAGCGAAGGAGAGACCTCCAATTGATTGAGCAGAGGTTGAATTTAGATTTCATAAGAAGACCCTGATTGCTTGAATGAGCAGCCCATTAACTGGAGTTGATTATATGAGATGGGAGAGTTAGCGACGATGTAGGGATGTCTTTAAGCAGCAATAGA